GCCTCCCTGCTGAACGCCGCTCTGGCTTTGCACTTATCCCTTCCAAGAACATCAGAGATGGCAGAGCCCAAGCAAATGACAACCCCCATTCAACCCAGTGATGGACAAAAACAGCTTCCTTCTGTTGTCTGCAAGCCTTGTGTTTCAATCACAGCGATCTTTTATCAGAGGACCCCTATGAACCCATAAACACGGTGCCAGAGAGATGATCTTGTGAAAGAGGAGCAGAAGTGCTTTGTAGAGACACTTTCTATCGTGCAGTAACAAACAACTGTTATTTATTAAAGGAGCCAACGCTAAAAACCAATTCAGAGTATTTCCTATGCCCAATATTTGGTTTTGAAGTTCGGTATATGCTACCAACAGAGGAAGCACCTAAAGAGAGATGCTCATCTGGTTTTGGACAGAACTCTCAAAGCTTTACTACATACAAAGTATGATCAAATCAGAAAACTTCTGTGCAAAAGAGTGACATCAAGACAGCTGCACGATCACACACAAAGCTCTGATCTGGACTGAAGCATCTTTCAAACACGGGTCTGGCAGCAGCAAATATTTCATCCACAGTGCACCAGGGACCAGCCAGCAGGCACTACTGGCACTTCAGATGCGTGAGGCGTGTTACTTGAATACTTAAATAAATTTATGACTTTAAAGATGTGACTTAATCCTCTCATGCCCTGGGAGAGGTGAGGTGCAGACAAGTGGTGAGTGCAGTTTACAGACGGGGAAAGTGGGGAGAAGGCACCTCTTGGAAAAAGGCTCTGCGAGATTAGAAACAAAACACTTGGCTCAGATCATAGCTCCTGCCTGAGATAAAGCCACAAACCCAGGCCTCGGGGGAAAAAACCCCAAAGAAAGCAGAAAGGACTTTTCTCCTTTGTTGCGAGGTTTCCATATCCTGTTCGGGTGATGAATTACAGCCACGTTCATTGCAGCTGCTTCCAGGAGGCTGGGGTAGGAACATCAATTATCAGTCCAAGAGGAAAGGACTAAATCAATAGAAGAACTCTGCTTACTTGCTGACTGGGTTCTTAATCCCCTGTCCATCCGAGCCAAGTCCCTCGCCTTCCTTCCAGCCCATCTTCATTAGCATTTGATAACCTATGTTTTCCACTGTCAGTTTGAACTCTTTGTATTCAGAATAATCTGGCTCACGTCCTTCCTGCAGAGACACCAAAGGTAGCGTTGGTTATTTTTTATATGTGACTATCTGTGGGGCAGAGGAAGGGAAAACCAGCTCCAGCCGCTCAAAGTTAGGATGGCTCTGGCAAACAATTAATAACTACAACCATTGATCGGGATTTCAGTCCTGCACCACCACAGAGAATAAAATGCGTAAATGATAAAGCACTGCACGGCCCTATAACAATCTGCGAGAAGCAGGGAATGCTGCTGTGAGATTAAGCTGAGAAATATTTAGCTCCTAAATTTAAAGTTTCTCACTGGATCAAGCCTCAGATACAGCTCTTATTTAAGCCAGGATCTCCAGGGAACGTCAGGCCCCATGCTGCTTACAGGAAAACATTAGGAGGGATGCGCCAGCATCGAGAAGTTGCTACAGTTTAGAAAGAATTGGCAGGTACTGAAGTGCTTTGCATAAGCTTTTCGTAGGCTCTATATTTTTACTTTACTGCAATTGCCTGGATAAAACGCAAGTTTTCCTTACTTGGCATTAGCAACCACTTATCCTAAAGAGGAACAGCAGAGAAATGGTGGGCAGTCTGAGGCTCGTCTGTAATTTCAGGTAACTCCTAAATGCTGCCCCAATCACCTGTTCTCTAATTAGCTACAGCTGTTTCTCTGCAAAGAGCAAAAAAACCAAGTCCCTTGTTTCCTCCAGCAGTATCAGAGCTCCCAGGGTGAGGGCAGAGGTACCTTGAGGCTGCAGGGTACCTAACTGCTGTGAAAAAGGGCTAAGCACACTCGAGATCACTGCTACGGGACAAGTCTGAGGCGTCGCCACCACCCGTGAAGTCTCTGCTGTTTCACCTTCAATGCCTTGAATGTCTCCATGAACTTCTCCAGCTCGTCGGGTGGAAGAAAGTCTCCGATGAAATGTTTCCCCCGGCCCATCTGGGTCAGCTGCTCAGCCCACTCTGCACAAGACACAGAAGAGAGAAAACAGCAGTAACGCGGCGTTTTTTGACTTGGGATTTCAGAGGGTTTGTGAAGCATAAAGCCTCCCAGCACAGTTATTATCTCCACTCAAGAGGCAGGGAAAACACAGCACAGACCACTGAAAAGCGGCCCTGCAACGCCCAAGCCAACAACGTGAGCTCAGGCATCTCCCTCGGAGGCCTTGTACAACCGCAGAGCACAGGGGCTCCCCACACACCTCGTGTCTTGTCCATCTCCATGCGCCGAAGCTGGTGTTCCCACGTTCCCAGCTCGCTGTCCACCTCTTCATCGCTGTCATAACCGTGCTGGTGCTGCTGAATCGCCTTCTCCCACATCATCTGCATCTCCTGCATGGCTCGCTTGTGCTTCATGATCATATCGTACATCTGCTGCATCTAGGGGAAGGGATGCAACAGCACGCTAAGGACAAGACAAGCAGTTCCCAGGCAGCAGAGTGTGTGGCAGAGCCTGCACCCACCCCAGCTGCCGTACCAAATAGGGCTTATGACAACTACAAATCCAACTGGCAGCGCCGTCGCTTGATCTGATCTGCTTGCTTCTCAGATCAAACAGGAGCACCATGTGCTGGTCTCTCTGACAGAGGTACTGTGGTACTAACACTGAGGACTGCTGCTGTCTGATCATCCCCACACAGTTTAAACATTGCCCTCACCTTCTGGCAAAAGCCAGTTCTGCTCCTGTTCCCCCAAAGCTTACAAGTATCCACTCGCCTTCTCCCCACTGAAGCAAGGCATAACCAGCCGCAGATGTGACACAACAGACCTTATAGATTTTGGGTTTTACTCTGGGAGGACAGCAATTGGCTGGCTTAATTCATATTCCCCAAAGTCCTCTAGTGTTTCTGCTGATGCAACATCACACGATTCTTACGCATTCAGCACAAATCCTGGAGATTTATTCGTTGGCCACTGGGAAAGTTTCTTTGCTATTTCCACCTCCATTTTCCCATCTAACCCAGCTGTGTTGCAATGCACTATGCTGGTACACAAATGAATTTGGAAATGATTTCGGGGCATTACCTCCTGCTGTTCCTTCAGCTGTTTCTTCTGGGCTTCGGAGAGTTCTGTCACACCCACCAAACCAACAGGTTTCCCTTTTTCATAACCAAGACCCTTGAGGTCCTGAACTGTAATAAGCACATGTTAGAAGACTTTCAAAAACCTGAAACAAGTGTTGAGACTGGCGAAACTATATCCCAAAATCCCCACATGAAGTTTTACACCCATTTCATGGCTCCAGCATTGAGAAATTTAACTGAAGAACCACGTGGCAGGAAATAGAAACCACAGGAGCAGGAAAGCCAACGGGTCGCACCTCACAGTATTCCCTCACCCCAGTCCAAGTCTCTGCCTGGGGAGAGACAGCAAACTCACAAAGTAAGTCTCATATCCTCGGTCACACTGCGTGGCAATCACGCTTTAAAAACCTTTCCTCCTTAAGATTAATTCTCCTCATAAGGCTTCCTTGTGAGCGTCAGCCATTGCAATGAGCGATACTGAATTATTCAGAATTGAGTCACCGGCAGAACTGAGCCTGTCAGCAGATTGCCCAATCTGGGCACGTAAGTGTCTGCTGATTACTATGTAAACAGCAGCTTCATTCAAAACGAAACGCAAATGACCACATTAGAATAAAGACACGAGCATTATGCTGCTTTTGGAAGTTGCTATTCCCCAAGGAGATTTTAGTTTCTAATCTACAGGCTCAAGAAGAACATTGCCAGGAACATTGCCCCTGCTTTCAAAGAGCGGGCATTTTAAGGCTCTGCTTGACAATCCCATTGATGTATCCTCCTTTTTCCACAGCATCCCCTATTGGAAGCTCCTCCTTTGGAATGATTTTCGTTGGTTTATCAGATAAGCCCTGCAATGAGATATTAACATTATCTGGGCAGGGCACCTACTGATTAAAAATGGCCACACAGAGTTCAAAGGACAAGTTAAAGGAAAGAGAGAGAGGAGGGGGAAGAAAAAAAAGGAAGCCTATTTGTAATTGCTGCATCATGAAGGAGAGTAACAGAAACACTGCTGGGGCTGCAAAAAAGAGATTTACAGCGTAGATTCCCTTTCAAACTCAGTTCATATATATGTACCAGGGCTGGCAGCTCCCCTCTGAAGCACCTCAGAGCTCAGATCCCAGCAGTTAAATATTTAAGGGATTAACAGAAGACACACAACCGCACTTGAAAGTGCATTGCATTTTTCAATACAAGGAAAAGGATTTCTTCCTAATGACTGCAAAAACCTCCATTTGAATGTAAGTCCAGACTACATCTAAACGATGCTTCATTAATTATTCATTATCTATTAATTATGAAGCCTGATAATAATAGGATCATTGTTCATGACACCAAATGTCTACACAGCATGCTAATTAGGCCCCAGGGGTCGTTCTTCTCCCTTCCTCTTATTGCAACTCAGGGCAATTGATCTGAGCCCTCTTATCTCCCCTCCTTCCCCACATGTTTTTGGCCGAGCACTCCAGGATTGGGAAGTGCCTGTGGTAACTCCATCCTCCCAAGGAGAGCACGGACCAGCGCATCCTCCCTCCCGTGCACAGCTCCAGCCTCTGCACGCTCGCACCGGGAGTCGGCTCTGCAGGAAGAGTTATGTAAAAAACACTGCAAGAGCTTTTCCAAGAGGGAAGCAAGCAGGCCTGGTGCTGGGATACCCAAGAAATTGGAGCAAATAGAAAAAAAACCCTATACATTGCTGATAAACAGCTCTATTTCTGCCTCAGTGAGCACTGAGGTTTGGAAACAGTTTTTAATGAACACGCTACACCTATTCCAAGAATCCGGCCCCATATGTTATGTGAGACTGGGGTGCTCCAGCATCAGCCCCAGTCAAAGATTCACCTCCTGTTTCGGGGCATGGGAAAGCTTTCTCTGAATGCACTGAGGAAGACTCTGCCCTTCGCAGAGGTCAGCAGCTCTTTGGCTTTGCTCTGAATTGCATAAACATTCAGGCGAAGCGCCAGGCATGGCTTCAGAGGCCCTGCGAGCTGGTGGCTTGCCAGCATATATAACCACCTTAAAGGAGAAAGGTGGGACCGGAGCATCTTCGTGTACTCCCCAGAAAGCATATGCCACTGCTGCTTCCTGTGCTAAAACTGCATCTGGTTTGTCTGCCTGCTCTGGTGCTTTGCAGACTTTTTATACCCAGATGGTGCTGAAAGAGTCACTGCAGAAATTGAGCTCTGGAGGAGAATTTTGTAGTCTTGGCCCAAAGTATCACAATACAGGCAAAGTTGACAGAAAAAGCGAAGCTCCACCCCAAGTCCACATCCAAAGATTAAAAAAGTCTATTCATAAATATGATGAGTCAATGGATTTGCATAAAAATAGATAAGATTTTAAAGTTCCTTACAGTGGTCTAGCACCAGGCAAACACTATGCAAAAGTCAAGGGGTTGCTTCTCAGTCTCATCTTCAGCAGGCCTGGGAAAAATCAATTTTTTTCCTAGAATGACATCAGCTTTGCCTACAGGGTTAATGGTGCAGTCTATCTGCAGCACGGGCAGGAGCCTACCTGATGGTTTATCCCTTTCCCACATGCCTGAAGAGGAGATTGTTACAACAGACGTGAACGTCCTTTAAGGAGAGCAGAAATCCCAACACAGAAGTGCCCGTTTTTCCTTTGTAGTCTGAAGATCTTACTCAATTAAAACTAATCAGACCCAAACCAATCCAATATTAGGTTTTAGAAAACTCTAATGACAGCCTGTAATTTCCCATTAGTCCACGGAGCTCACTAATCACAGTGTCTCTGTTCTGCCAGCTTTTCCGATGTATCAGTCTCTGCAGTGCGCTTGCAGTTCAGCGCTTCGGTATCAATACATTTAAGAGAAGCCTTGTTTCTGTCCAAAAGGGCTACACTCTTCCCTCTCCACAATACTGATTTATGACTAAGAGTATACAGAAAAAGAACCAGAACAAGTCCTCCACTAATCCCAAACAGATTGCTAAGGATAAAGGACTAAGATGTAGATATTTAGGTACCAAAGCACACTGTGCAGCTCCAACCTTCTACGGGACGAGGGGTGCAATTGGGAATTCTCTTCACCTGTCAGGCTGAAGATGTTAACTCTAAAAAGGGATTAGTCCATCTGAACCAAGAAAATCCAGAAGTCGTTCCCCCTGCAGAGCATTAACAGCACATTAACAGTTGATTTGTTATGCCTGGCAAATTGTTTGCTGTCCTTTTCTCCTACTTGACACCAAGCCCTGCAGAAAGTGAGCACAACACAAGGAGCACGTCCATGTCTAATTGCGGGGAGGCTAAAAGAGCAGGGGAGATCTCAGCAGGAGGCACGCAGGAATGAGCACATGGATACCCCTGCAGCCACCTACTGCAGCAGCAAGTATTAAGAAGGAATCTGATGCTTTGATAGCACTTGCACAGCTTTATCATCAAAGCTTCGTAACTGACCACAAGAAAAAAACAAATTACTCCTGAAGTACAGAATCAGGAAAGACTTTTGCATCCAATTTCTGCCTTACTATGAGCAGCAGTTCAAGGTCAAATGAATGAACCATCCTGGTTGGTATCTCGTTCTGTACATACAAAATGTAGAGCCAAGAGCTCTCTACAGGGCTGTGATCAGAAGGCAGAATGGCATAGGAACTTCTCTTTAGCTCCATCTGAAGTGCTGGATTAGGAGGTAGAGTCCATCCGTCCTTCCTGACCTTTGCAGAACCAACAGACACCACAGCACATATGGCCAATCCTGCATTTCACCCACGATTTACTATCAAAGCCATTAATGGCTGAGCAATAGTTTCCTCTAAAATCCAGCCAGAGGCCCACGGACCTGCTGGAGCAATGAATTGTACGCAATGACCACGCGTCGAGAATTATCTCTGCAGTGCAGAAAATTATAGCTTGTTTTCTATTACTTGTCCCACTTCATCTGTTCTGCTATTGCTTTTGATAAAGGTCCTTATTGAGACAGGTACTTATTACTTTTCCTGTTACTCTAGCTTCACACTATTAATTCTCTCAGTCTGCCAACACCAACTGCCTTATCTTACGTCTTCCCTTGCTCCTTTTCACATCCTTTTCCTGCACCACACTAATTGGGCAAAGGATTCAAAGATGCCACCTTAAATTTCTGTGTTCACCTGTTGTCCTTGAAAGACTCTGTTTGTTTGCATCTCTAGCTGCCTGTCTAATTACCGACCTGCACCTGCACAGACGGGGCACGGGAGTTCAACCTCTGAGAGCTCACTTCAAGTGCCTCAACTGCAAGAATTACCTTCCAGCACTCAGGGAGAGCTGCACTCCCCGGCTGAACCTGGCAGGGGAAGTAACAGGAGCGCGAGCCTAAACGCTGGGTGAGGACTGGAAACCCTGCCTGTAATCAAATGGAGCGAAATGGGGATAAATTCGACCTGGAACTTATACTTGTGTCCACCAGCACTCAGGGAACAGTGTTTCTCATTTAGCCTTCTGATCAGTTAGAGTGAGATGGAAGTGCTGCCCAGGGATTTTATCCTACCACAGGGAATAAGAACAGTTCAGCCTTTGATATTTGTTTTCTGACAGACTCTCTTCCTGAAGTGAAATAGCCCTAAATAGTGTAGAGGCTGAGGCTGTAATGAGCTATAGCACAGCAGGGTTTTGGAGATAGCTGGAGAGCGATAAGATCCACTCCCTGGTGCCTGCGAGATAAAGTGATTTATCTGGGTTTCCACACAAGGGAGAGTTAGCTGCTAGACCCAGCTGAAAGATATGGGGCTGGCAACCACGGAGATTACAACGAGAGATTGATTTGAAGGGTTTTCTGTTTACAAAGCCAGCTGGGCTGAAGCAGAATGCACTCCCCAGGAAAAACAGTTCCTCAACACAACAGACACACTAACCTGAAAGTGGAGAGGGAGAATCCAGCTGCTGGATGAGCTGAGGGAGGGGCAATTCAACCTTGTCCTCCTCCGGCCCCCACCTGCTCTTCCGCTTCTTTTTGGTAGTGCCCACGGCAGCAGCTGTAGTTGTTGATGCAGCAGTGGTTGTCGTTGTTTGATCAGGTGGGGTTGTAGAGGATGACGGTGAAGGGGAGGACAAGGAGGAGGGCATAGGCAAGGGCAACAGAGGGGGAACAGGCAAAGGCAGAGGTGAAGGAATAGGTAAGGGCATGGGAGAGGGAACAGGCAAGGGTAAAGGCGAGGGAACGGGCAAGGGCAGGGGCAAAGGCAGAGGTGAGGGCGAGGGCAGAGGCAGAGATGGTAAGCACAGAGGTGATGCCTCGGGACTGCTCTTCCTTTTCAGACTGGACTCTGCAGGCAAGGGGGCACACGCGGTGCTGGTTTTGGCCTTACGGAACTCCTCCAGTTTCTGCCGGTAATATTTGTAGCCGTTGCTGTTTGGCTCATATAAAAACCTAGAAAGAAAGGAAAAAAAGAAAGATTAAACATATCAGCCATACACAGGGGTTGGATACAGCCCAGCTAGGTCAGGGCTGCTCTTTCCTGCAATGCTCTTGCACACTTCCTTGCTCTCCAGCACCATCCTGTGTGTACGGGCACGCAATGCAGGGCTCTGTGTGCTCTTGCAAGGTAGGCTGCAAGCCTGGGGGATCAGGAAGCCTATTTCCCATTTATGAGCAAACCACGGTTGTTTTTGGTGCCAAATAAGCAGATCATACCAAAAAGATCACATTACATTTGTGGAAATGCAAGATCCTCCCCCAGAATTCACCTGCCTTCCAAAACACGCCTGGAAAAACTGCAAGGCTTCTGCAACATGTTTCACTTAATGGAAGAAAACAAACATTCAGCTCTTACCAACGGGAATGCCAAGCCACTACCTAAAGAAACTGCTCCCAGCCTGCTATTCAAGCTGTAAGCACTGACATTATAAGTCTGCTTAATTACACCACAACTCCTTCTTCTGTTCCCTCATACACAAAAAAACCCATTGCTTTATTTGCTACCCCTTCCAGAAATAGGCATCTCTGACCTTTTGGGTAAAATAAAACTCCTTAGTCTCTGTGGGAAGAACCTGAACAATCCTCAACCCAGCAGCTATGCAAAAAAAATAAATATAGTCATGTTTGCTACAAAGACACTATCTCTTTGGGCTCACTCCAGTTTAAATACTTCACACAGAAAACTTGTCTATTCCCAACTCCTCTGCATTCTTCCCTTTTTAGAGGACCAGTTTATCATTTGACATAATCTCTCCTCAAGACAGTGCCTGCTCACACAAGAAAACGTAGGAGACAAGAAGCCTTTCCCATCTCCTGCTGCACAACATGCACAGGCAAACACAAACAGCTCTCGGAGGGATTTTAAAATTCACTGCATGTGTGCACCCCTCCATTTGAATAACAGCATTAGGGATTGCTTCAGGACCAAGCAGAGGGCAGGATGGGACCCTCTCTATGGCAAATCTGATGAAATCTTTACAGAGGAGATGGTGTTTAACTTGACTGTGCTCAGGTGGGATCACAGCAGTGGTTTAAGGTAAATAACGAAGCAGCTCAGATATCAGCACATGTCTAATGTAATTCACAACACAAGCAGAATACCCCAGAAGGCCAGAAGACAGCCAATAAAATGCCAAAATATCAGCAACAAAATCAGGCTTGCCGAGACCCACTTCACTTCCAGAGAACACACCAAACTGTTCGTAAGGCCAGCAAAATATTACATGGACGAGACCAAGGGGAGGCATTAAACATCTGTCAGTGAGCACCGAGGAGAACAATTCACATCCGAAAGGCTGACAAAGATATTCCAAAGAGGGACCTAACGGTGAATGAGTGCAACCTGTATGTTAGAGAAGATTATGTGTAAAAAACAACCCAGGAAATTAATTGGAGAGCAGCGGTATGAGTGGTGGATGGGGGCCCACACCAGAACACAGCTATAGGGAAAAGTATAAAGGTTAGAATTATACTGGCACATTGCAACAGAAAGCAGGTGAGGAGGGGTGGAAGTTGCGAATTAATTCTGGGGAAAGCAAATCGATTCCTCTCTCTGTGCCTTGCTTTAAACTGTGAAGCTTGAGAACATAGAAATATCAGTGGTATGGAAGTGTAATGTCCTTGTAACTTCAGACTTATCACAATCTTCTCTACTATTTCGTCTTAAAAAACTGAGAAACAAAACCACTCCAGCTCTCCCCCACATTACACTCAGCAGCACGTTTCTTCCTTTACCTGAAAGCTTGGTTGTCGCGGTTGTTCTGCAAGGCAATAGCTTCCACTTCGGGACCCCCGTCTGCTATGAACCTGGCCAGTTTCTCAGCAGTGTTCTTTGTCTCTTCGTCGTCTGGGGGTGAAACTTTAAGCAGGCTGTCAGTACTGGGCCCAACTCACACAAGCAACAGTCAAAGCCTATCTGTTCTAAGAACCCCAAGAGCAGAATAAGGGCAAAAGGGCGACTTTAATTTTTAGAAATATTACACATGAACAGTCATAGAGTTTATATCACAAAAACCACGACATTGCGTAAGGTTGTACTACAGATTTGTAACCAGAGGAGCCCCCATTCACACCTCAGCTTCCTCTGTGCCAGCAGCTCGATGAGAGCAGATTAACAGACAAACCAGCTTTTGTCTTCAAACTTGGACATGTTTCTCTTTAAGGCTTCCGAAAAAGTGGCCAACTCAAAACACACAGTCTCAATCCTCACCTGGAAGAGGTGGCTACCGCACCCTTACTCCAAAGGCACAGAGAAGGCTCTGATCATTAACAATTCAAGCCTATTTGGTGGTTATAAGGAGCCAGGCAAATACATTATTTAGCCCCGACAGCCTCATACGACATTTGCTACCTGCACAGTACCAGTGCCAGTACCCCAGGGTCTGCCAGGACCAGGAGGCAAAAGACATGATTATAACCCAGGGGCAAGTCATAACCTTTCCTTGCTTCAATATTCCACACCTGTAAAGTATGGATAGTACTGCTTAGCCTCCAAACCACTGCATCAGTTGGCTCATGCTGGTAACAAGATTTCTCATCCTACAGCCTGTTAAACTGTGTGCTGTTTGAGCTGTTAACTCCTCAGCATGACAGCTAAACTGCATTAACACTTTTCTATAGAAAAGGAAGCTGACGCAGAGAGGCTGAGTGATTTGCCAGGGCCATGCCCGGCCTGCAGACCATGTTTCACCCACAGAAACATTTATTTTAACAGAATCAACCAGATTTCACTGCACACATCACCTGGCTGTTGGCAGATCACCCACTTCTGCTCTTTTCCCACCTGAAAACACAGTCCCTTCTTTGTAAGGTTTCATGTCCCAAGCAGAAAATAAAAGCTTCAGTTAGGGAAATCGCAGAAGAAATGGGGATTCTGTTCAAACCAACCATTTGCATTGGTAACAAATCAAATGAGAACATAGGAGAAAAAGCACTTTTCCTAAATGCATTTTCAGGGCTGAAACACTCTCCAGAACACACACAATGGAGAAGCATTTTAGTTCACTTCATTAAGGATTTTGGAGACATACAAACAAAAAACTTTCAAGAGCCCTTTACACAGAGCGTGGTACAGCTCACTGTGGGCTTGGGAAAAAACATTTTAGCACAAAACTTTGACGGTATCGTGATGTTTGATCACCAACTCCTTCCATTCTGAAATTTTATTTACAGGCAGCAGATTGCAGCCAAATTCCCACTCCAACTGTCTTCAGCACAGACCCAACCAGCAGTTACAGACAGTGAAGACGTCAGATTTCACTTATGCAATTCATACTCTCTGCATCCCTGAATTAATTACCTTTCTGAGAAGAGGAGGCCTGAGAGCTTTGATTCTCTTTTCTTAGCTCCGCCACTTTCTTTCTGTAGTAAAGGAATTCTCTGCTGTTCTTATTATGCAAAAACCTAGGGTGGATGTAGAGGAAAACAGGGTAAAAAAATACGCATCAGTAACAACTACACACAAATGTTGATACTTTGGGATAGAAAGAGCTCAAAACAAGAAAATACCAAAACAGACTAGTTACTCATAATTCACTTAAAATGGGGATTACAAACTCTTTAGCAAGTATAAATATGCACAGCTTTAATCTAAGGACTTGCATCCAAATCTTGTGTGTTGCTTGAAGGGAAATAAACAACAGTATCTTTGGATATAGGAGGTAATCCTCTGTCCACAGCCACACAGCACATGTATGGCAGAGGAGACAGAACCAGTCCTGAGACGCAGCCCAGTATCCCCATGTGCCAGATGTGGCCAGACCCCCAGGCTGTAGTCCTGACACTGATCTGCCCCAGTTTCCCCAGCTATTAAACAATTACTGACAACAGAGCTCAAATCCACCAAACATTAATTAAACCACACACATCCACAAGAACTATATACACACGGCTGGTGTTCTTCCCCTACAAAGAGACAGCGATCTGCTTCGGAAGACAAGAGTTATCACCACACTTACGAAAAAGCTGGGTTATCCTTGTAGCCCTCCATAGCGAGCTTCTCTAAGTCTGGTCCCACTTCAGCCACGAACCTAGCCAGCTTTTCCACCACTTGCCGGGTCTCTGCATCCTCTGGGGGTAAAACTTTAAGCAGGCTGTCAGTACTGGGGCCCAACTCACACAAGCAACAGTCAAAGTTTATCTGTTCTAAGAACCCCAAGAGCAGAACAAGGGCAAAAGGGCGAGTTTAATTTTTAGAAATATTATATATAAACAGTCATAGAGTTTATATCAAAGAAACACGATAGTGCATGAGGTTGTACAACAAATTTGTAACCATAGGCGCACCTATTCACACCTCAGCTTCTTCTGTGCGAGGAGCTACTCTTTCAGGAGCCCTGTACACAGAGCATGGTATAGCTTGGGAAACAATCATTTTAGCACAGGAGTTTCACACGATTGTAGTGATGTTTGATCACCAACTCCTTCCATTCTGAAGTTTTATTTACAGGCAGCAGACTGCAGCCAAATACCCACTTCGCCTGCTTACAGCACAGACCTAACCAGCAGTTACAGACAGTGAAGAAGTCAAATTTCACTCAGGCAATTCATATTCTCCAGATCCCAGTCTTAATTACCTTTCTGAGAAGAGGAGGCCTGAGAACTTTGATTCTCTTTTCTGATCTCAGCCACTTTCTTTCTGTAGTAAAGGAATTCTCTGCTGTTCTTATTATGCAAAAACCTAGGGCGGGGGACAAAAGGCCACACATTAATTAAATCAAACACATCCAGGAGATGTTTTTCTCTTACAGACAGTGTTCTGTCTGTAACTTGTACAAGAGTTACCACCACACCCACCGAAAAGCTGGGTTATCCTTGTAGCCCTCCATAGCGAGCTTCTCTAATTCTGGTCCCCCTTCAGCCACGAACCTAGCCAGCTTTTCCGTCACTTGTCGGGTCTCCGCATCCTCTGGGGGTAAAACTTTAAGCAGGCTGTCAGTACTGGGGTTCAACTCACACACCAAATAGGCAACAGGTACATTACTTCTAAGAACCATGGCAGCAGTCAAAAGTAGAACGGGAATGGGAAGAAAAAGGATGAAATGGGGGAACCAGTCTTACACAGTTGTACAAATTACAATCCCTAGGTTACTGTCAGCCTCTGCACTCCCCTAGTAGGAAGTTAATATTTTGTCTAGATTTTTCCTATGAGGAAAAGCCTAAGGTTTGGATCGCCACAGTTTAGGGTACAACTTCAATTACAGCATAATTTGCTTCTGACAATTCCACTCCATACAAAACACACGATGGGGAGGAACAGGAACTTGGCTTTCACAAGAAGATTCCAGTTCCCAAGACACGGCTCTGTACCCAGACAGCAGAGACAGATTGTGTTGCCGGAGCACACGGTTCTTCCTGCTAGCATTTGCCCATGTCCCAACCCTCACTTGGAGGGAATCCCAGCACAGACAAGAGAGCTCAGCCTCCAAAAAACTGTATTTTGGCTTCTGAGCCAAGACAGGAACCCACTAACACTGACAGTGATTACAGGACAGATTTAATGGGAACTAAACACGGGCATTTGTCTAGATAACAGCATTTTCGGTTGGGCTGAACAACGAGCACACAGGAGCAGAGCTGTCCACACTGATCTAGACTGGATTTGAGTCCACGATCTTTAAACGAAGGGTCCATAGTCTGGACCCTTTGCTCTCTGCAGTGAGTGGCTATTTCTCACATTCCTGCAGTCTATTTCACCCTCAAGTTCAGGCTGGCTGAGATTATGTTTTTACAAATCCCACCAGAAATAGCTAGACGTGGTTTTGTAAACATATAATGAAATAAATTATGACACAAAGCTTAGTGTGACTTACTTAGCAATTCCAATCTAATTTTATACTTGATTAAACACATGCATGAAATTCAGATTATTAAGCAAATCTGCCCTCTGGCTTCCTAGCCAGAGCTATCCAGAAAAACTTGGTTATTTAAGTGCTGCAGGATTGTGCACTGGTTTCATTGCTGCTTAAAGCAGTCAGGACCTAGAGGTGAGATTTTTCTAATGAAACTTGGAGAAGAGGCAGGAAAGTTGACTTTACCTGGTCATAGTTCCATGCCTTATACGTAATCTTCTTTATTAACACATTATTTTTTCCCCTATGCAGCCACTCCCAAACTGAGGACTCTTTCTTTTCAATCATTTAAAAAGCTAAGATCCCAATTTAAATACAAGCACTATATCTATGTATTTTCTAGAGAACTCAGCACTAGCCATAATAAATGTCAATTGTTCAGAAGTGAAATTCATACGATTAGTGAATGTCCTGGTTTGAGCAGAACTAATTTTCTCTTTAGTGATTTTACTTTTCAGTTCAGTCTCTTCTAAGTGGCTGACCTTGCTGAAACGAGCAGCATGTTTTTCCAGACAGTGTGATAATGTTCAAGGCCACTGTCTCACCATGGGTGCTGTGTCTGCGTCTACGGGGTGGGGAGTGGACCCAAAACTGACCAACAAGGTATTCCACCCCACATACGTCATACTCGGTGTAAAGCCGAGGGACCCTTCCATCTGGGACCCTTCCGTCTGTCTCGACGCCTGCAATGGCTGAAGATTGAGCAGACCCTGCTGGTTTGTCTGCCTCTGATCCTGATCCGTGTGTTCCTGCATCAGCTCCCACTGCTGCTGAGTCCAGACTGGGACTTTTCCATTGCCCTGCTCTGCAGAGCCTCTGGTGACATAATCATCATTGGGGGGGAGGATTTTATATTGGTTTTGTAGATATATTTATACATATCTGTATGTATTTCATTATTTTCCTATTTATTTTATTATCCTGTAATATTAGTATTATTGGTTTATTAAATTTGTTAGTTCTAATTTTCAAGCCATAAAGTCTCTCTCCCTTATTCTCTTTCTCTTTCCTTCTGGGGAGGGAAGAGGGGTTAATAGAGAGCGTCTGTCCAGGATTTAGTGGCCAGCCCAGCCCTAAACCACAACAGCAAACAATCAAGCTCCATTAAGAGTAGAACATAGCTTTTCTCTACAGATTAATTTTCACAGAGACTTATAGACTGGTCAAGTGTTTGTCTTGTCTTGATAACTCAGAGAAAATAAATCTTCTAGGCACACAACAGAGCTGGTCTAACTCTGGCAAGTGGTCCATCTCCCCTACAGAGCCCAGGGTGGATCAGGAATATCCAAGAGCACTCAGCCCCCAGCTTTTCTGCTGAAGCTGGCTTTGGAGGAGTCCACCAGCATTAATTAATTGGTGTCATTAAAACTTCACAATGCAGAGGTCTGCACGTAGGAACTGTGCTAAGAACTGTACCAACTCACAGCATAAGGTTAAAAAGACCCCCAACCCACCAGTGGGGAGAAGATCCTCCTGTCACTATGGTGAGTGGACCTGCACCCCAAAACAAACAGTGAAATACAAGTTGTCATTTACCTTTAATTTCCAACCACTGCTCATAATCTTCCTCCTCATCTTCATCTGGCGACTGAAACACACTGAGGCGGTTAACGACTGGGGTCTGTTTGGAATGGGAGTAGTTCTTTGCTTGGTGCAGCATGCTGCTGAGGACCTGACCGGGCCGCTTCCCAAATAACATAGGTTTCTTCCCAGCATTTGGTGCAGAAGCGTTTGCCGAGTTATTGGTAGAACTTGGGGGAGGTTCTTAGAAAAGAATGAGGGGAAAATAATTCCTGTGCATCCTTACAGCTTCAAACTCAGAAGGTTACAAATAACAACTCAGGCAACAATGCAGCTGCAATAGGCTGTTATCTTCAGAGTAAGTTAGAGACAGTGATTGGTAAAAGCTGCGTAACTAAGTGAAAGTTGTGATTTTCACAAAGTGAGAATTCAGCTAGAAGCCAGATGCTTGTCTTTACAGCAACTATGGAGGGAAAAAGGAGCAAACTTCTCTACTGCATCTCAGAGAAAGACTTCAATCCAAATTTAAAGGGGTCATCATTGCCTTAGAACTTACTCCTACTGGTAACAGCTCATAGCAGAGTTTTGAAAGCGAACATACATGGAGGCAGCTCACACAAAGCTGCTGTCACCAGGAGAACGAAGGCCTCCCGTTGCTCAGAAGTTGACCTACCAGTACTTGACTTTTCCTTCTGCAGCTTGAGAAACTGCTGGAGGAAACTGCCATCATTAACAAACTTGTTGGAAACACAGGCTTCACTGTCAGTACCGTCATCTCTGAACGGAAAAAGAAAAGTAGGTGATGGTGCTCATTATCCTCCCCAACCTCACACGCATTTATTTTGAACAGAAAACAAGACAAGTGCCAGTGACTACTAATCTGTATCATTTAATGCTTAAAACACACCTAGGGTTTCAAAAGCACAAGAATCATTCAGCTTGCTGCTTACAGCAATTACCCACGCTCTCCACCTGGAGAGCCTTGTTTACTGCTCTGGTGGAACAGGATTTCTACTTGCTCTGTTACACTGCCCTGCTTCCAAGAACCCCACTCAGGCATTTAACTGGAGAACTGTGCTAATGCTTAAGAGTTGTGATTATAAGAAGGCTAATAAATAGCAAGCAGAAGAAAAGCGTGATAATGCCGTATATTGTTGTTGGCACATATCTGTTATCACTAGCACCTGACAAATCAGGCTAGATCAACTCAAGTGCAAGTATCCCACTCCAATCTTTACTCAATTATCGATTTTAACTTTCCAAGTATTTGTCTAAGCGCATGAGCTCTGTAAAGCTCATCTCTTCAGTTTCATTTAACAAACATGCCCATTTTCTGTCAGCAAAGCTCCCATCTAAAAGCACCATCATTCCCACATACTCTCCAAACAGAGGAAGCTGTTGAATGCTCGGGTAATTCTGTTTTGCCTGCTGCTCCAATCTGGCCTCAATTTCTCTCTTTTTCTGTGCTATCAGCTCCTCTTGGTGAAGAATATTTACGTTCGTCTTGGCCGATTTAGACTGCGCGACCCCAAACCACCGGCTCGCCTTCCCTACGGGAAGAGGAGAGGATAAAAATTAACGCTGCGGCGCCCGGGACTGATGGAAGGACGGGCGGGGAAGGGGAAAGGCATAGAGGGGATGATACCGCGGCCCTGCCCTGGGCACAACCCCTCCTGACTCCCAACGGTGCCTCCGCGGGCGGGTCACTGCCCACACAGCGGCGTGGAGGCCGCAGAGCCCGGTGCGCCGCCGCTCCCACAACGCAAACGGCTGTGAGACCACGCGACCCAGAAGAAAGAGTCGGTGGGCTGGGAACGGTGGGGCAGGATTAACGAAACAGCGAAACCGGCCTTACCTGGTGCATCCCTGGAGTTGTCCATTTTGGAGCTCCCGTCCCACAATGCACCGCAGCCGGCG